CAGTGACAAACTCCAGGCAGCCATGAGCCGGGCAAACAGTTTGCCAGAAATACTATAGACAAAGCTGAATACGTACCGTGTGTGATATGCTGGATGAGCACTGTGAGCAAGAAATGGACTGTAAGCAATGTCTCGGCAGGAACTAGAATGGTTGCCGCATTGAATGTAGTCATCCAACAGCTTCGATACGCGCGACTGCAGCTCCCGTCGTCTGATGAGATTGAGGATTGTGATTGGTGCCCCATATCGTGCAAAAAGGTCGTCGAAACGACGTGACGCAGCGACACAGAATGGATCTACAACGCTGTCTTTGGATGCGTCAAAACAAAGGTAAGTTGAAAGCCACAATAGACGTACTTTCAATAGTTGGTCGAGGAGCCATGCTAGTAGTTTCCTGTGTCCAATATATGAGGATGCTGCCCCTGTACTAAGAAGACTGACGTCGGATCATGACAGTTAGTCCGCACCTAAACATAACTAGTATGTTGAGGGCTCGGTCAACGTTGATATTCGCCCGTTGATGGACGGTGGGAGGAAAGTAAAAAGTTGACATTCAAGTGCTTTTGGTATCTCGACTTTGATGACTATGCGGCAGAATGCCTGCGATCAATCGTACCGCGGTCGCCTACTTGGTCGTGAAATGAGAAATGGGCTACTGCCAGTGAAATCTTCAAGGCTGGCGCACCCATCTTCCCGTGTGGAGACCAGCGACGAGATTCTATATGCGAGCGTCTGATGGGCTGTGATCAAGACACATGCAAAGCGTGTTGATAAACTGGACGTGAGTCTCAGGATTCCACGGCGTATCAACCGCGACGATGATATCAAAGAGCGCAGAACATTCAAGATTCTGCTGTGCGGGTGCGAGGAGTGGGGATATACTGAGTCATTGCCGCGAGCGTACTAAGGGACCGTGACAGTCCAGCAGCATGCCAAAGCAGTGATTGCGACGACCGTTATCAGATAGTGTGCGTATGAAGTTTTCGTCCGGATAATAACTGACTACAACAGCAGCATTGGCAGTGAGCGTAGTCTGTGCGATCGTGATCGAAGGCAACCCAGTGCTATCATTTTCGGTCGCTGAAGCGATCCAACTGCAAATATCCAATGTGATCTGCAATGTGAATGGAGGACTTCCAGGTGGATGAAGCATGCAAAGACCAATCGCTTGTTTGTGTGTTGGTGGCTGAAGCTTCAGCTTGAAGGGTGATCTGCTTTGCCAGTGCCGAGCGTAACGCGTGGTGGTGTAATTTTTCAGCTGGGAACGCCGTACTTGGATGGGGTGAGTGGGTATGTTGAGGAGTGTGTCAGTCGACGGAGGTGGTAGTCGAGGATAGGAGAATGGAAAGCCAGGAATGAGGGTTGGTTTGGAGATGCGAGTTTGGCGAGTTGGGAAAAGGTGGATGATGTTAGGTATGCTTGGGTAGAAGCTAGACAACCAGTTTGCAGGATTAGCTATAAGGTATCAGCGTCATACTAAAAAGAGTGTTTTGAGGTGCGTGCATACCTGGTTTTCAAGTTCCTTACACAATTAGTGTCTGTCCAGCGCGGAACTCACCAAAGAATCCAATCAACGAACGCGCCATATCATCTTTAGCCAGGTCAACGAATCCAGTAAGGCTTTCATCTCTTTCAAACCGTGGAGTGGAGTTTCGCCTACACCAGACTCTACAAGCACCTCCCTATCTGCTCTCGCACGGACCTCTTGAGTCGACTTGCGATTGCAGATCACTTGCATCTGTGAAGATGCGGTCTATCGCTACGTGCGCTTGGGATACCGGTTGAGCACTGGCATCATACAGTGCACACCGCATTTGCATCAGAGCACTCCGAGCGGATATCTAACAACAACGACGGCGAAGACAGCGCGCGTGTCCACTCCTTCGACCCAAGCATCCCCGCCAAAACATCACGAAAAAGCGATATGACCCCGTACAATCGTACTGGTATTTCTGAATAGCAGCAGAAGACATAGGATTCGACTTTCAAATAGAGTAGAAACGGCTTCCAATGGATGAATCATGATAGGGTCCACATCAAGAATATTTCCGGAGATGGAATTTGCGACTGCCAGTTCCTTGGGAGTGTAATCTAGAACATGTTTGGATGCGCTAGAAGCGGTAAGGAATAGTATTTTTTTTTTGGTTTTCGAACTATCGGTGTTGAGCTTTGGAGATGCCGGTGAGGTGAGGGTGGTCACTAGAGACTCAAGTTGTTACGGTGGGCTGCAAATGAGGATTAACATGTCTCCTTTGAGGAGTGTATTATATACCACGGATGTATTTTTTCGTTCTGGTACGCCGTTTTGATCAGCGGATAACACATAATGAACAGTCGTTCAGACTCTGCAAGCCGCGGATGATATAGTTGCACATAATAACATTCGGCGTCCTACAATGACAACTATTGTAATTTCTTACCGCAATGAATGGCAAGTATGAGCTGTCAAAAAATGATTCTGATTGACATCCGACGAGAAAAAAAGAGTTGAGGGTTGGCGTGCGCGCCGTCACGATATGCATACATTTGAAACATATAGCTATTTGTTGCACTTGTCTGGTCATTGGATCAGTGCCAGATTTACGACGATCCCAAGCATACACCGCACAACAAGGAGCAAATCCTCAACTCCCGAGATCTGTAATATTATGATCAGTATTACACATGATCAGTCTAATGATCGCCTTACATCAGCTATCGATATCGGACTTGGAGTCAGGGGACCCCTCCATGCTATCATCACTGTCTTCCTCAGGCAAACATAACTTGTGCGCAAGATCCTCGATGTGATCAAGTTGTATGTCAGAAACAACGAACGACGTAATATCGCAGTTATATGCGCCGATATTGAAGTCTATGTCGATATTAAGGTCTTTCGAGGTACGTCCAACCAAAAGCTTTTTGAAAGAGGAAGCTTCTGCATCGCTACGGGCATATTCTAGAGCGTCCTGCTCCAGCATTGTTTCAAGAAGTTTTGTGCGCTGAACCGATGACTCGATCTCCCAGGCCGTTGTCAGAACACGCAAGCGCTTGGATTCGCGGGTAGCTTGCATCGCAACGACAGCTTGAGCGACGGCCTTGCCAGACATACCTCGCAGGCCACGCTCGAAGAGTTCTTTTCCCTGGTATAAGATGTTTATCATTGTGAAATTGTAGCATTGAAGGCTAACTTACCGCCCGGACATCAGCCAGAGTCATGTCAGTCTCGCCGGAGCATTTTCCGACAGACTTGTTACAAAAACGAAGTTCGATTGCGTTAGGCTCGTGACTATTGTGCTTGTTATAAGGCTTGAACTGTCTTTTTGCGCGTTGCACATAGTAAATCATGTTTTTCGAGGGGGGGAGGCCTGGAAGTGCACACAGCTCATCTTCTGACGAATCATTTGTGTCGTCAGATGATGGTGATAATGGTCGGCGACCCTTGAAGCGTCTGAATGGAGCTCCGTGTCTCATTGGTATATCACGACGATATTGTCGTTGATGGTCAGGTGTCTGGGTACCATCGGGCCAGAGTTGACAGGATGAGTCTTCATCCTGACGAGTAGGACTAAGTTGTCCGATAGAGCTCGGGGGAGTAAAGCAGGCGTGCATTCCTAATTAGCCAGGAGTGCCTCCGGTGACTAGTTGATATCAACAAGTTTTTGGCGTGTGTTGGAAGAGGTCGGATGAAGGTTTAACAGGCGCACAGATTGTACTAGGCCAGTATGGGATTGAAAAACCCTCCCAGTTAGGGTATTACCTACAGCCATCACGATGAATTAATTTCCCTGAAAGGAGTTTAAACTTGGACGTTATCTGGTAGTGTCATTCAGCTGTTACGCTGAGGAAACATGACTGAAATGGCACTTGGTGGGCACAGGTAGGCGTTCATCATAATGACAGGCACACGAATACCAATATGGATCATTACCCTCGCCGTATTAGGCTAAGGCTTGCAGGCCTGTGCCGCCTGTTGCCCGTCCCAACACATTAAATACTCGAATTCTCAATTGAAACTTGAGCTTGCCGAAGTTCTACATGTAATAATCTAAGAATCTAGAACTTAAAACTGAGTCGTGTGCGCATCATGGTCACTGAGATCACCTCGTTACAGAAGTTCCAACTGGAATTCCTGTCCGATTTCAAAATTTTCTGACACTTCCGAGTCAGAGTTCAGGGCCTAGTGGCCATGACAGGGAGGCCACCGGTTCAAGAGTGTAGTAGCTAGTACTCGGAGTGAAGGAGCGGACTTACTAGTAGTAGTCTATAGTTTTTGCTCGTCTTAGTAAGCCGCCTCACTCATGACACTTGCACAGTTGCATTGACCTGGGCAAGCTTGAAGCTTTGACTCTCTGAGTCAATCTGGACTCCTAAATTTCGCTCGGATTGAATTCCACTCCGAATCTGGGTAAGTCCTAGTCTTTGTTACTGCAGTCGCCACGATGCATTAGCTGATTTCCGATCGATTTCCGGGATCATTGACTGAAGAACGAGAAGAATTTAAACTTCAAGCTCAATGTGGCGCCGGCCAACTTCAAGTGGCTTGCCATGGGACTAAGATCGCCTTCAAAGTTTCTGTTTGGCTCATCGCGGTATTTCCGAAGGTCGCTGCTGTAATATCACGATCCTGACCATTTCAGAAATTTAGTGTTCATCGCCAGCCCCAGGAGGCTTGCAAGAACTATGACTCGTGCGGCGGGGAACGGTCTCTGAGAAGCACTGGCTATAATCGAAATTTGTAATGTTACAATGATCAATTGTCGATTGGCAGTCACCAGGAAAGTCAGACATGTAATATGCCTCGTTATCATTACGAGTATCTGATGAACTCGGCTCAGAGCGACTCATACGCGGCTGAGAGACTGGGGCCGCTGCTACTTATGACAGGCTCTGAGTCGTCCAAGGGGTAGCCCGTATCAGTAGTGAGTAATGTTAAATATCAAAGTTTAGTATAAATTCTGACTCTGCCAGGCCGACTCGGAGTCACCGCGACTGCCATCATATCCCCTGGTGGCATCGATATGATTCTTCCGAGCTCAGATGAAGAGTCACATCGTCAGGAGCTTGGTGACGACAGCCACAGATTTGGCAGCTTTGTGCCACCCCCAGACGTCAATTTCGACATGTGGTACGAAGGTATGATGCCCCCAGGAAGCTGGTCTGACATGCCCGGGCCAGCCTCAGGTATGGCACCGAAGCTCCATAAAAACGAGTTGGACGCCCACAGCAGTTCAACTCCAGCCAGTGGGCCAAGTCAAGCTGATCACACCTCCGCGGAAACTCCATTAACCCCCGAAGATTTTCTGGCCATAATCATGAGCTTCGATGACCCAGTTGACAGTGCCGCGGAGGCTGTGGTCACGGGAGCCCCGCATTTGCACACCCTTGGAGTCGCTGGTGGTATTCACGGCCGGTTGTCGGCCTTACGCTTTGACTCGCCGCCGTCATCGCGCAGTGTAGGACAACGCGACGCTGAGCTATCATGTCATGACCTGACACCAGGTATATCGCCTGCCCCAGCATCATTAGCTATTCCAGTAGCAGTCGCGGTACCAGTACCAGCCACGGTATCACCTCCTGTAGCACCATTGTCTACAACATTCGTGTCGTCGCTACCTATTACGGGGTGGTCCGGTCTTGAGACCCTACCCCAGGTGAAATCGAGAGCCAGAGAAGGCATGAAACGGTCGATGTTCAACGGCTCGTTTCTGCTTTCAACTGAGACAAGATCAGAAAAGGCGCTTGCCAGCCTTGCTGCCGTTGTAGCTACATCAAATAATCGTAAGTCTCTCACGAAATTCATTTTAAACTGAAAACTAATATCGAGAACAGCTGAATTCGCCCAATGGTCCGCCGGGGATGATGCCAAAAAGGACGCTGGAAAAATTGGTGACACCGCGAAGAATCTGAGGAGAAGATTCATGGATATAGTTCGGACGGCGGTTTTATCTGGCTACAATTTGAATGAAGCCTTGGAAACCCAACCGCAGCCAGAGATGGTGCTTATCATCCGTGACCTTCTCCAAGCCGATGCGTTCCTGAACGGAGATATCGAGGTAAGTCATTCTTCTGACTCCTCCTTCTAATGCTCATGGCTTTACGGTCAGGTGGGAGGACAGATCATGCACGGCGTGCCCTTTGCAAATATTGTAGTGCGACATTTTACGCAGCACGTGCTGTTCCACCAACTTAAGCTCCACCAATATGTTAGCCACGACCGAGACCTTGGGGCATTGTTAGCCTTCATTGGAACATTGTTTGAGTGGGTATTGAAAGAACTGTCCACTGGTGTCTTCTTGCCCAGAGACTTTGACCTGTCCCCCGCTAGGGTAGAATTCGACAAAAAGCTAAATGGTCTCTACACGTCAATGGCGAGCGATGTACGTAACGCCCTAGTTGCAGGTATTTACACCCGAGGGGGGCAACCACTGCCTTAGGGGAGTAACAAGTAACGTTCATAGGCATTCAGAATCAAAGTCTGGTGTTGCTTAGACGAGCCGAATGAATTACGGTACTATACTTAGGCAAATGTATATGCAGGGAAAATTACAAGGCGTGCGTATAGAGTCCGAGAACGAGAAAGGAAATTTATATGGTCATTTCAGAAATAGATTTCAAACTTGTGAAAATAATTCTTTTTGTGGGCTGGTACATATCTTAGAGGGTACTTCCAGGAATGATATGAGCCAAGAATTACAGAAAACGGCGGTTGGGATGTGGAGATATGGTCAAAATACTGACTTTTTGGCCCTACCACCATATGTCACCAGTAATGATCTCCAGATACTCTGGGACCATCACCAATCGATTTCCAAGCTTGAAAAACCCCAGGACAGCCCTTTACGGTATCGGGTTTAAGTTAAAATCAAGTACAGCAAAATATAGGAGGTAGGAGGGAGGAGGAGGACCTTGTATATCTCAAGAATGCGATTTTTTCTGGGAATTCTGGCTCGACCATCGTGTTCAGAGGGATCAAGAGCCCCCAGGAAAAATGCTTTTGGAGCACTGGCAAGTCATGTGAAGTCTGTAAAAATCGATCTTTGTGGGGGGTATGAGGCAAACTGACCTATTTTATTTCAAACAGGCTAGAAATACTCTGGGATCATCTCCAATCGATTTCTGTGATCATAAAACACTAGGAACATCCTTTGATATATCGGTATTTACATAATATCAAGATATATGAGATAGGAGGGGGGAGGGGGACCTAGCATATCTCAAGAACCTGATTTTTTCTGGCAAATCTGGCTTGACCATCGTGTTCAGGGGGATCAAGAACCCCCAGGAAAAATGCTTTTGGAGCACCAGCAAGTCATGGGAAGTCTGTAAAAATCGATCTTTGTAGGGGGGTATGAGGCAAATTGACATATTTCAATTCAGATAGGCCGGGAATACTCCAGGATCATTTCCAATCACTTTCTGTGATCATAAAACACTAGGAACATCCTTTTGCATCTCAGTCTTCACACAATATCAAGATATATGAGATAGGAGGGGGAGGGAGACCTTGCATATCTCAAGAACATGATTTTTGCTGGCAAATCTGGCTTGACCATCGTGTTCAGATGGATCAAAAACCACCAGGAAGAATACTATTTAAGGACTGACAAGTCATGGGAAGCCTAGAAAAATCGATCTTTGTGGGGGGTATCAGGCCAACTGACACATCACAATTCACATGGGCCCAGATGACTCCGATACCATCTCCAATCAATTAACATGGTCCAAAAACACTAGGAGCATTCTTTTATACATCAGTATTGACATGGAATCATGCCTCTGGGCACAGTAGCTAGGGGGAGGGGGGTAGCATCACTATGGAATATGATTTTTTCGGACCAAACCAGTGTTGCCATCTGATTCAGATGGCTCAATAACCCCAGAAACAAGTTCTATTTGAAGCCAAGCAAGTCATATGAAAGCTCAAAAAATCAATCATTGGGTGAGGCAGCATCACACTGCTTACATAAGCAAAAGCGGTCAACTTGACCATAGGTGAGCAACTTTACAACAACATGACTTTGACATATCAAATTGTTGTTCCTACTGGTCTGTGTCTTCAGAAATAAGCCTGAGATCCAGCCATGCAAGTCATACAAAGGCTGAAAAAATCGACTTTGGGTGAAGGCCTCAGCACAAGAGTACTTGATAGCTCATCACTTTGGAACATGATTTTTGCGCACCAAACAAATCCTGCTGTCAGATTCAGGAGGCTTTATAACTTCTAGAACAAGTCCTATCTTGAGTCAGGCAGGTCATGTGAAGGCTGAAAAAAAATCGATCTTAGAGGGTGAGGCAGCATGACAGGGGTGTTCAACTTTTTGAACATGATTTTTACACAAGAAATG